CCCATGGCCGCCCACCCCTGCCGCCCATCCCTGCCACCCTCGACCCGTCATCCACCCACCACATCCCAAGGAACTACAAACTATCTGACGGTCAGTGGTCCACCAGACTTATCTACCAGGTGCCTGGCACATGGATGGCAGTACCAATAAATGGGCATTAAGGAATGACTACCGTGCTACAAAGAAGGAAAGACTAGAGTTGCGGGAGCTCAAAATCAACTCAGCTCACAGACTTCAGACAGACAATTTCTGCTTTTTTTCATGCAGCGAGGAAGCTGCCTTATGGATAAATTTAATTGAGGGTTAAAACTCGAGACAAATTTCCCCGAGGTCTGGCTGGCACCTGGCCCAACTGGCTGCCAGCTGCCCACATCTATTTCTTGCTCTCCTGCCGGCGCAGGTTCATCTCTGCTTAAAGGGACATGGCTCCTGGGACCTTCTCAATCACAGCCCCACCTAGAATATTCCACCCGATGGAGAAGTGGGCAAAAGGAGGTGCTATTTGCTATTTTATATACAATGGTCTCAGAAGGATGCAAACTGAGAAACAGTCACTATTTTACTTTTTGTCACAGAGAATACCTTTAATAAATCGCATCGTATGACATCAGGGAAGAAGGAGGGTCCCCACCAGCTGCTGCCCTCAGCACTTACTTTCTCCCTTAAAAAGATGAACTGACTTGGACTAAAGTGCAAATAAACACAATCCTTAAAAAAGATTTTTACTTCAAAACAACTCAAGCTTATTACTAGTATTAGTTTTCGCATGAGCTACATAAAAACCTGCCTAGTACAGGGTCCTGGTGTTAGTCTGAAGACGGACAGTAGAGACGGACAGCAACAGAATCGGTTTCAGAGTGCCTTACTGCGAGCCGTGGCTGAGGGACGCGGAGCTGAATGGACAGGAGTTGGTTAAGCCCCCCAGGAAGGGCTGCGGCCGTTCTGGCTTTACCTGGAGGTCGATGTAGCCATCGTCTGTGCTGGAGAGTCGCGAGTACTTCACCTTACTGCTGGGGATTCCGGTAGCCAGGTTAGTGCGGGATGGCATCCTCACACGCAGCCGTGGCGACGGCCTGCAAACCAAGCCGGAGAACACCTGCTACCTTCCCAAGTGCACTGCACCTCAGCCGGGGGTTCAGGGCTCGCTGCCGCATCTTCCCCTCTGACACGGTGAGACACCATCTCAGAGATGACTCCCAGCCCAGCTCACCAAAAGGCCATGTCTGTCTTGCCACCAACCCTCTCTGCCATCACACAGCAGGTGAAGAGACTTGAACCCAGGTGGATGTCATGTCCACACTTTAAAGCACCCTGTTACAGCTTTGCCTGTCCCAGCATCCTTGGAGAACAGACCCGAGCCACTGTCTCGATGGTGCCAGGGAGGAAGAAGGTGGGATCAAACCCACCCCCCGTTAGCGTGCTGCCCACTTCCGGAAGGGTTCCCCTCCTTCCACACGGAGGATGGGCAGGACTTCGTGTTGTAATCCGGATAGGCTCCTGGCTCACACACTACCCCAGTGCTGCAACTGTGACCGCCACTGCCCCACCCGGACGCTGCAAAATGATGTCATCGCCCAAATTACGTTTGTAGTTACCAAAAAGAGGTATTTAAAAAAAATACATTTTACTGTTGAAAATATTCAAAGTAGACTATGATATCATGGCTACTGGGTCACCACCAGTCTAAGAGACTCTAAAAGACTGATTTTAACTTTGCTAAACTGGTAACCTGTATCCTTACCTGCTTCAAGTGACAAACTCACACGAACAATGTACAAATACCTATTTGGGGCCAGTGCGGTGGTTCATTTGGCTAATACTCCCCTTTCAAGCACTGGCATCCCATATGGATGTTGGCTCACGCCCCGGTGACTCCACCTCCCATCCAGCTCCCTGCCTGTGGCCTGGGAAAGCAGCGGAGGACGGCCCGAAGCCTTGGGACCCTGCACCCGCATGGGAGACCTGGAAGAAGTTCCTGGTTTCGGATTAGCTCAGCTCTAACCTTTGAGCCACGCAGGGCGTGAACCAGTAGATGGGAGATATTTCTCTCGGTCTCTCCCTCGCTCTCTCTGTAACTCTCTAAAGTAAAATAAATAAAAAGAAAACCATCACACTGACATCAAAGGTACTTCAACTTTTTAAATTCTCAGGCTTTTCTTTTTTTTTTTTTTTCATTGGAAAGTAAGATGTACAGAGAAAAGTATGTTTCATCTACTGGTTTAATCCCAAAGTAGCTGCAACAGCTGGAGCTCAGCCAACCTGAAACCAGGTCTCCCACAGGGATGCAGGGTCCCAAAGCTTTGGGCCGTCCTCAACTGCTTTCCCAGGACACAAGCAGGGAGCTGGATGGGAGGTGGAGCAGCCAGAATATGAACCGGTGCCCACATGGGATCCCAGCACATGCATGCTGAGGACTTTAGCCACTAGGCCATGCCGCTGGGCCCAGTAGTTGAATTTTTAAAGAGCAAGCATAATTTAAATAGAGAAGATATATTTCAGTAAGGGCCTTCCACACTGCACAAACACTGACCTTTCTCAGGCGTTTTGTGAATTAGCACCATCATCAGTAATGGTAACACCAGTCTCGGTAAGGTGCAGGCACTGTTTTAAATGTTTCACACAGACTTAATCCGCCAATACACAAGCTGTCTTAAATGGCTTACCGGCTATGCAAAATAAGCAGCACTGTGAACAAAATGTGTTCACGACACGTCTGTTGTTTATCCAATCCATGCAGTTCAGAAACCGAGTGGACATACTTTTTAAAGAGGTTATTTTACTGTGCATCAAGGCGTTTACTTTTTGATCCTGATTCCATGGCCATTTCTAACTTCAATTTTATGAAACTGAGTTCAAACTCCTTATGAGAGAAAACCGATCCTGTCGGATTTAAATTTACGCCTGTCATCAACTCTTCAGAATAAGAAAAAAGCCCGCAGCGTGAGGGGCGGGAGACGCGAACGTCCATCCCCGCCCGCCGCAGCTCCTCCCCGCCGGCCTCCACACCTTACCAGGGACAGACCCGAGGAGAAGCCGACGGCGCCGGAGCCGGTGCGGGGGCTCCCGGGGGGCTCTCGGAGGGGACGGGGCGCGGGCGCGGGCGGCTCCCCGAGGGCGCGGGCCGCTCGCCTCACCGGAGCTCCGCGCCGGCCAGCATGGCGCGGCCGCGCCCAGCCAACGGCCTCCCGCCGGAAGGGGCGCGCCGGACGTGACGTCACCCGCCGCGCCGTCCGCCTCCGGGCCGGCTGCCGGCTCCCCTCGGGGGTCGTTCCCGTCCCCTGCTCCCGTCCCCTGCTCCCCCCGGGCGTCGTCTCCGGCCCCGGCAGGCACCGGCGGCGGCCCCACGTCCGCGCCCCCGGAGCCGGAGTCCCTCGCGTGGCCGTCGGATGCCCGGCAAGCCCGTGACTGTCCGCGGGGAACGGAAGTCGGCCCGTCAATGCCCCGGGGAGCCTGCTGGGACACGGCCACCTCCGACCGCAGCCTGTCGTGGCTGGAGATGCTTCTGGAAGTGCTGGCTGTAACGGCACCAGAAGCCGAATTCTGACGAAGGGGAGTCCTGGGCTGGTCACTTCTGTGGCCATGCTCAACTAAGATACTCACTATGGGGGAGGTCTAACCCCAGTATGAGTCACCTCACCAGCCCGCCAGCAAGATACTGCAGCAAGGGTTGTCCTCAGTTGTGGCATGCAGCTTCAGCAAGAATAGGTTAAATTGGGCCCGGCGCGGTGGCGCGGTGGCGCAGTGGTTAAAGGTCCTCGCCTTGCACGCCCGGGATCCCATATGGGCGCCGGTTCTAATCCCGGCAGCCCCGCTTCCCTTCCAGCTCCCTGCCTGTGGCCCGGGCAAGCAGTCGAGGACGGCCCAAAGCTTTGGGACCCTGCCTGCACCCGCGTGGGAGACCCGGACGGAAGATCTTCCTCTCTGTATATCCGCCTTTCCAATAAAAACAAATCTTTAAAAAGAATAGGTTAAATTAAACCACACCTGACACCAGAATCCTATCTGGGTATCACAACCCCCAGATCCCTGCTAATATTTTCCATAAGATGTTTTTGGGCCCAGTGCTGTGGCCTAGAGGCTAAGGTCCTTGCCTAGCACGAACCAGGATCCCATATGGGCGCAGGTTCTAATCCCAGTGGCCCTGCTTCCCATCCAGCTCTCTGCTTGTGGCCTGGGAAAACAGTCGAGGACAGCCCAAAGCCTTGGGACCCCGTGCCGGTGTGAGAGATCTGGAGGAGGCTCTTGGTCAGCTCAGTTCCGGCAGACCAATCTTCCCATCTCTCCTCTCCTGTGCCTGGCTCTCCAGTAAGTAAAAATTTGGAAAGCCGTATCTAGAGAGGATACAGATCTTCCGTCCACTGGTTTACTTTAAATGGCTGCAGCTAGGCTCACCCAAAGCCAGGAGTGTCTTCCTTGTGCCACCTTCTGCTTCCCTGGTTACAAGTAGGGAGCTGCTAGGACATGAACCGGTGAATGCAAGGAAACGATTTGGCCACTAGGCTCTTAATCTCATTAAGCATTAGATGGCCCAAGTTCTTGGGTCCTGGCCAGAGTGGGAGATGTAGACAGAATTTCAGACTCCTAGCTTCGGCTTGGCCCAGCCCTGGCTTCATGGTCACACGGGAAGCATATTGGTATATGCAAGATCTCCAATCTAAAAGGGCATGGTGCGATTGCCTTTGAACACACTGGGACCCCATATGGGCGCGGGTTCTAATCCAGGCAGTCCCACTTCCCATCCAGCTCCCTGCCTCTGGCCTAGGAAAGCAGCTGAAGATGATCCAAAGCCTTGGGACCCTGCACCAACATGGGAGACCCAGAAGAGGCTCCTGGCTTCAGATTGGCACAGTTCCGGCTGTTGCACTCAATTGGGGAGTGAGTCAGTGGACAGAATATCTTCCTCTCTGTATGTCTGCCTTTCCAATAAGCTTAAAAAATCTAGAAACCGAACTCGGGAGATCACTAGGACAGATGCAAATGAAGACACTGCTGTGTGACACTTGCAATTCAGGTAACTTTATTTAAATTGAGCAATCTTAAACTGCATTCAGATTTTAGACCCTTGTTACAAAAATTACGAGCATTTCTAAGTAAGGCAGAGGTATTTCTAAGTTAACAAGATCAGATTTGACTTTGGATTTTAAACAAATTGTAGAAAATGAAGGGAAATAGGTTATTTACAGGAAATATCTACATATGTACTCAGAAAGTTACACATCTGGCGAAAGGAAAGGCTCCAGGCCACTGGCATCTCAGAAGCACTTCTCAAAGAGCTCGGTTTATCTTGTTGGGTTTTTCATGCCTAAGACCCTTCTTCATCCTCGATCTTGGGGGCCAAGTAATACTTAAGATGTCCCATGTCAGCAATTTTATATTCTACAACTGAAAGCAGACAGGAAGTTAGTTACGGCTAGTTAAGTATTACACATCAGCAACAAACAAGACTAGAATTCACGATCTTACCAAGGGGAACATCTGCCGACATGCTGAGCGTTACTGTAGGAGAAAGTGGAGTTGCTTTTGTGAAGAAGTTCAGGTACCTCAGTGCAAAAGTTAGCTGCACTGGCTCGTTCATCTCGATGGACACCTGCAAGAGAAAGCAAGGCTCACGCTAAGATCTGAAGGGACAGGCAGTACGGCATGGTGGGCAGACCAGCCACGCGGGAGACTGGCGTCCCACAGGGACTGCACTTCCCAGCCAGCTCTTTGCTAAGGTGTCTGGGAAGGCAGAGGGTGATCCAAGTGCGAGGGTCCTGCACACACACAAGTCGCAGAAGAGGCTCCAAGCTCACGACTTCAGTCAGGCCCTGGCCTCGCCATGGCGGCCATTTAGAATGTGAGCCAGTGAGATACCTCCAGGGATCACTGCATGATGTGGAACATTTCTACCAAGTAATTCTTAATCAGAAAGTTAACTCAGCAAGCCAGGTCAGTTGAATGGCCCCAGAAGCCCGCTGCTGCCATCAGTGTCCAGACAGCCTCGTGCTTCCTAGTAGCCACAGCACTTAGAAAGTCCATCTCCCAGCTGCGGGGCCAACAGAGCAACAGCCCCGACAGCTGTAGCTACCAGCTAATAGTCAAGAGTTAACACACGTGGAAACCATCTGCAAAAACCCACACTAGAAAGTTCTGTGACCAACTATTTTGTTTCTTTCAACAGAATGCAAGTGATTGGGGGGCGGGGAGGGTAGTGGGCTGAAAGAATGAACCTGAGTGAATTTCAACGTCTGATTTTGAAAATGGACAAAGGTTGGAATTTAAGTCAAAAGGCATGTTTTAAATCTTCAGTTTCTCCTTCTTTTAAACTTGAGTGACCATACACACAAAAGAAAAAAATAGCATTTACCCTGTGCTAAGCACTTTGAATGTCTGTCATTAATTGTCCTTTATTGACATTACAGTTGACCTGATGCTCAGGCTAGCAAGTAAGCCTGAAACACCCTGAATCTGACTCCTAGGCCAAGTCCAGGGGCTTGTGAAAGCACAGAACCTGCATTCAGTGGATGGCGCTTAGAACCGGGCACTTAGAGTTAGCAGGCAATGAAGCTTGCTTTGGTGCAATTTTTAATCCATGCAGTATTCTCCCGTTACATGTTCCCCCTAGATTTTAAGACCCCTTCACAAATCACGTAAAAATTAATGATAGCAAAATTTTCAGTTTCCACTAATTAACAATCTCATCTGTTTTAGCTATAATTCTCCTCAAAATTCTATGAAACTCAAAATTTTACTACTTACAGCTTCTTCTTCTTTATCGACATTACTTGTTTGCGACAACTTGATGTTTCCATTTCCCAGTTCTCCACTGGCAGAAAACTTCACCCCATCTTTTGCACAGGATATTACAACAGCGTCTCCAATATGGCTCAAGTCTCGGCATATGCGTGCAAATTCACCCGATGGCATTTTTACTACACAGCTGTACTCTTGTTCCTATAAACCAAACTTCAAGATCAGTTGCCAGAAACTTGGCGTTCTCACTTTAAGCAAAATTTGAAAAGTCTACTTTTAGGCACCAGCACAGTGGCACAGGCTCAGTTCCCAGCTGCTCTGCCTCCCATCTAACTTCCTGTTAGTGCACCTGGAAAGCAGCAAGCGACGGCCCAAGTGCATGAGGGAGACAGAGGGACCCATGGACCCACTGGCTACTTGGGGAGTGAGAGCTTTCCTTCCTGAGTTTGTTGGTCTGCCTCTCAAATTAACAATTGAAAAATAAGTAAATGCATATGTGAAACAAGTGTGCTGTGTAAGAACAATGTATAAGGTCTCTTTCTTGTCATTCTCTGGAAGCGGGTCAAGACAACACCGGGGCTGGGCATGGAGATGTGGCACAGGTTTTCCTGCTTTCCAAAAATCAGGGGAGCACATGAGGCAGCTGAAGCACCACACAGCTGTTCTCATTTAGTAATACGCCAACCTAATCAATTTCTAGCCTAGCTGTAAGATTTACTCAAAGCAGCATGCTAAGGAAAAAAAAAAATGTAGACTATACAAATAAGCATTCTGCAATAAAAATTGAAATTAACAGACATTGAACTTTAGACTGCTACAATTCAGTAAAGTGGCAAGCATGTCAATACAAATATTAAAATCTGTGGATATGGGGGGCCCTGGGTGGTAGCCTAGAGGCTAAGGCCTTGCACACACTGGGATCCCATATGGGGCTGTGAGTTCTAATCCTGACAGCCCTGCTTCCCATCCAGCTCTGTGCTCGTGGCCTGGGAAAGCAGTTAGGACAGCCCAAAGCTTTGGGACCCTGCACCGACCGATGGGGATCCGGGCTCCTGGCTTTGGTTAAGCTCGGTCGTGGCCGCTTGGGGAATGAACCAACAGATATTCTTTGTAAGATGTTAGCAAGTAGGCCTTGGGTGGTACTAACACATTTCACTTAATTATCCCGACTGTATACAATCAGAAAACGATACTCACAGGGATTCCCAGCTGTTCGACATCTAAATCCATTAATTTCATTTCATAGTCTGAAACTTTCTCCTGATCTACCAAAAGAAAAAAAAAAGATCTGTTATTCAAGAACATTGTGCTTTATAGTTACAGCATGAACTTCACGGCCATCACGGTCCCATTCCTCACCCACTCGCGGCATTTTCATCTTCTGCAACACAAGGCTCAGACTTACTCGGGGCTTCGAACACCAGCGCCAAGGTGTCGGCATTGTCCTCGGCCCTCAGGGTGATGATGTCCTCGTTCCCAGCGCATTTCAGGATCTTGGACATGCTACAACATACAAGGCCCAGCATGGAATTCCACCACCTGCCCCGTGTCTGGACTCCCAGCGCCTCCTCCCGTCAGGCTATGGGGGCGGAACAGGTGATGGGGGCATCACTCAGGGATGCGACCCGCTCCCACCGGTACGGGTTCACCTCCGGGTAGGATACACCCAAGCTGGGCTTAGGTGAAAACCAGGGAATGCCTCGGGAGCAACCCCATCCACCCATCCACGATTTGCACAGGCCCGGTACGACTTCGTGATGAACACCCAGCAACATCCTTGGACCCGAGAGGGGTGACAGGGCCCGTCACGGAGCGGCCCAAGTCGGCCGCGAGGCCCAAGGTGCCCATTCGTGGGCAGGGAACCCGGCCACGGGCCTTTTCCCGCCACCGCCCGCTTTTGTGGCTTTGGCGCGGAAAGGGCCGGTCCGCGCGGCGGCCAGCGCGCGCTTTTCGGGGTCCCGCCCCCCGACGACGCCGCAGGCCAATGGGAAGGCGCCGAGGGCCCGAGGCAGCCAATGAGCGCGCGGCTGGCGGCTCTCCCGCCACGAGCCGGGGTGGGGAGGATGGCGGCGGGCCAGCCCCGGGGAGCCGGGGAGCCGGAGCTCACCTGGTCAGGTTCACGCCCATGGCCAGGTTGCGGTCGCAGCGGTACGTGTCGAAGCCCTCGGAGCGCAGGGTGAGCTGCACCAGCGAGACGTGGGACGAGTCCATGCTCTGCAGGTTCACGCCGCCCGAGCTGATGTCCCAGCAGGCCTCGTTGATGAGGTCCTTGAGCGCTTCCAGCACCTTCTTCAAGATGGAGCCCTGTACCAGGCGTGCCTCAAACATGGTGGCGGGGTCGCAAGGTCGTGGCCGACGCGAAGCTCAAGACGGGCGGCCGTACGCGGCGGGCTCCACGGAGGACTCAGACCCACAAGGACCGCGACCCGTGAGCGGCGCCGGCAACCGTTTAATGCCGCCGCGTCCGTCCGCGCGCGCTCCTCCCCTGCGCCCCGAGCTGCGGCGTCAGCACGCCGCCCCGCCCACCCCCGAACGCTAGGGCCAATCGCGTCACGGCTCTGCGCAGGGTCCGCCCCCGCCCGACTCGCCATTGGATGCTGCCGCGCAGGGGCGGGGCCGGCTCGCGCGCGTCTCGGGAGGCCACCCGGTGACGTGATGCCAGGCTCCCGCGTTTCGTGCAGTTCCGGAAGCGGCACGCGAGGCATGCCCGGGCATCGGGGTCCCGGGCCGTGGGGCGCTGACCACCCGGTCAGCCGCTTACTGAGGGTCCAGCCGTGCAAGCCCGAGGCGTCTAGTTCTTGAGCATGTTTATGTGCTTGTATTTCTTGAAAATTGCATAGTTTTTATTATCCCTATTGATTGAAAACATTTTATCAGTATGTGTTATGTTAACCGTTTCTCTAAAACACAGAGAAACATACACAAGCACTTAAGAAAATATGTGGACAGGTGGATGAAAGATTTTATTTTGGTGCAAAGGTTTTCAAATCCATGTATGTTTGGGTTCTTTAGAAAATTCAAAGAAAATGTACATTGTGTAAAAACTTTCAATTTCGCACCAAAATGAACTTTGGCTTTAAAATCATTTTTCATGTACTTTATTTAAAGATTTATTTCAAAGGCAAAACGACTGAAAGGAAGCACCCACCCCCCTCCACACACACACTCTCTTTCCTCTGCTGGCTCACATCCCCAGGGCATGTAACAGCCAGGAGCCTGGTGCCGCACCCAGGTCTCCCACACGTGTGAGTGGCAGGGACCAGACCACCTGACCGTCAGCTGGATCCGCAGCAGAGTCACAATTCAACTTGAAACACCACCATAAAATGTGAGCATAGCAAGCCGTGGCTTACTCGGCTGGGCTGCAGCTCCCACAGGTCCAGGAGCTTATTGAAGTGCCTCAGAGGAGACTTTCGCTTGTTGCTATTTGAGCTGTGTTTACAGCATTTCTCTTCAGTACCTATTAATGTCTTGGCCTGTAGAATTCTTCAGCTCTCTACTCCCTACTTAGTATGAGTTCAGTTGTTTTTGTTGTTGTTGTTATTGTTAATCTTCATTGTATTGGAAATGCAGAAAGAGCAGCAACCTGGGCTGGGCCAGATGAGACCCAGGGGGCAGACTCAATCTGACTCTCGCTCAAGGCAGGGTCCTGACTGCCTGAGCCATCTGCAGTTGCTTCCCAGGCTGCCCTAGCAGGAAGCTGGGTGGGGAGTGCAGTAACTGGATCATGAACAGCGACTTTGTTTAGTACAAGTGGCAGGTTAAGGCCCAGTGGGGTGGCCTAGTGGCTAAAGTCCTTCCCTTGAATGTACTGGGATCCCATATGGACACCGGTTCTAATCCCGGTGGCTCTGCTTCCCATCCAGCTTGTGGTCTGGGAAAGCAGCTGAGAATGACCCAAAGCCTTGGGAGACCTAGTAGAGCTCCTGGCTCCTGATCAGCTTAGCACCAGCTATTGCAGTCATTTGGGGAGTGAGTCAATGGATGCAAGACCTTCCTCTCTGTCTCTCCTCCTCTCTGTATATTTGACTTTCCAATAAAAATAAAATAAATTTTTCAAAAAGTGACAGGTTAAGCCACTGCACTACACCTCCCCCCCCGCTTTATTTTTTTTTTCTTGAAAGCACTGAAGATACATTTATTTATTGTAGTCTAGAACATACTTAGACGTTCTGACGTAGTTTCTCCGTTAGTATTGTTAAAGCTGCCTGGGTCATCCTAATGAGCATTCAGATCTGAGATGTACTTGTCCAGCACGTGGGACTCACAGTCGTGCCCACAGCCACTTAGCTCCCATCATGGAGACTACTGGTTTGAAAAATGAGATCTTCACTTCTTAGAGGACACTAACAGTCTAGATAGAATGACTAATAATATAGAAGGTAAAGTTTAATGAAGCACAAGATTTGCCTGTTTTGGAGCTGTAAGAATTCCAACAATTCTGCAAAGCCCATTTCCAATTCTAGTTTGTGTGTCATCTCATGAAACTGATAAGACCATTGGTCAGACTAAGAGCTAAAAAACCAAACAAAGGATAAGCCTGATTTTTGTTTTAGACGGTCCTTTACATAAGAAAAGAATGAAGAAAACACTTTTAAGGGCCCAGTGTGATGGCTCAGTGGCTAAATCCTTGCCTTGCAAGTGCCAGGATTCTGTATGAGTGCAGGTTTATATCCCAGCTGCTTTACTTCCCATCCAGCTCCCTGCCTGTGGCCTGGGAAAGCAGTCAAGGATGGCCCAAAGCCTTGGGATCCTGTACCCACGTGGGAGACCTAGAGGAAGTTCCTGGCTCCAGACTTCAGATCAACCCAACACCAGCCGTTGCGGTCACTTGGGGAGTGAATCATCAGGTGGAAAATCTTCCTGTCTCTCCTCCTCTCTGTATATCTGACTTTGCAATAAAAATAAATAAATCTTAAAAAGAATGAAATAGTCATTGCAGTAATAGCTGCCTGCTTATACTGTCTCATGTTCTGGGGGGCTGGCAGTTCCATGTTAGTAACCTCCACACGGCACCTGAAAATAACAGAACCAGCCAAGGAATGTGACAAGTAGTGGCTGTCCCTCTCATCTGTGCCAACCCTGGAAGAATTGACCCCTCGCATAACTAACAGAGAACAGGAGGCAGGAGAGAGAGCAGCGTGGTAGAAATCCCTTCTCAGGGGGAATGCGGAGACTTGTCATTTTGAAGAAATGCTCACTACTTTCCCTAAAACTCACAGCTCAGGCCGTGATTTGCAACAGGGAACAGCAATGCCTCTGTGTGTGGGTGTCTGAATGTAAGATCCCATTTTGGCTAAGGGTAGTTACACCTGCGTTGCATCCCGTACTCGGCAGCCAATAGGAAGCACCGGAGGCAAGGCTAGCAGAGGTAGCTGTGAATTAGGCAGGCAGTATGTAATACGGTAATATACACCGCCTGGGGCTTGGTGATAAACAGGTCTGCGTTCCAATTCTTGCTGGGTAGTCGCTTTTCAGCTGCGGGACTTAGCGAGGTCATGGACACCTTTTCAACACGCACTTGTGACGTCTCAGGTACCTACGGGATGCACAATAAATAAAGCAGGCAGCATGCCTCCAGACCCACCAGAAGTCTTTGAACATTTCAGAAGAAATCTGAAATACGGTGGAGGAGCCTGCAAAAGGAAAACCACGCCCACTTCCAAGTGAAGCGCGTTTTACAAGGCGATAAGCCAACTGGAGCCACTCTGCAGGTCTGGGCCCAGCCAGCACACGACTCGAGTTCAGTCAAGGCCAGAGACCTCCTGGCGAAGCAAACCGGACATTGTTTCCTCATCTCCTAAGCGGGTAGGTTCACCTGCGCTCTCCAATAACCGCCTTAGAAACGTGAAGGGGTAGCCAGGGCTAGGAAATACCCAAAGCCGAGGGCGGCGAGGACCAGACCGCCTGGAGCCTCCGGGGGGCGCCGTTCGCCCTCAGCAGCCATTCCCTTCAGCATCCCGCCAGCCTTCCGCGGTCAGGTGGGAGCTCCCATTGGCTGATCCCACTCAGATGCGCAAGTCTTCTCCCGCCCCCTACGCCGCTGTCCAATGCGTGCTCTCCGCCCTGCTTGGTCCCGCCTCCCAGCCCCGCCCCCTCGCGTCTCTGCAGCCTTAGTGGATGTCCCTGGTCGTGATGGAGGCAGTGCGCGTGCGCGCTCGGAGGAGGAGCGAGTCGGCCGGGAGGTGGGGAAGGCGGGCCGCCTCGGGCCGGAGAGGAAGGGCTTCAGGCGGCGGCGGTGCTGGGCGGGGCCGGGCTCCGGAGCTGTGGCCGGAGCTGCGGAGGGGCCTGCGAGCCGTGGCGGAGCGGCGGAGCGCCTGGCTCGGCAGGGCCGGCTGACGGAGTCCGCGCGCTTGCGCTTGGGGCGGCTCTCTCCGGAGGTGGCCGCCGCGCTGCTCACCGGGGGCGAACATCGCGCCGGGGTCTCCAGCATGACGGAGCTGAGGCAGAGGGTGGCCCGCGAGCCGGACGCGGCGCCGGAGGACAAGGTAGCGGCGGCGCCGCGCGCGCTCGGAGGGGTCCACCGCTCCCTCCGACCCTTGGTATCGGCCAGCGGCCGCCCCGGGCCTGGGGGGCGCACAAGGTCCTGGGGGGCGCACAAGGTCCTGGGGACCTCTGGGGACCCCCGAGCGTGTCCCGGGTCAGTGGCCCCTGGTCCGCTTGGGGATGGTTACCCGGGGGTTCTGGAAGGAGCGCGCCGGTGTTGCGCGCACCCGCTTGCCTCCCAGGGCCGAGTGCGTGGGGGTGTCCCTCGGCTCCCCGAGGCCTTGTGGGTGTGACGACTGGAACCCCCGCGACACGACTTGGTCTCCGCGTCCTCCTGTAACCTGTTTTTTTTTTTTTTTTTTAATTAATTTTCGAGGCTATGGGAGCCAAGACGCAAGGCCACAGGGTCTGCCTCCTGGGAGATTTCATTCTGTCCTGGGAAGTTAAATCCGTTGGCTGGGAGCAGAGAGGTGTGTTGGTGGACGCGGGGAAGCGGCTCGGTGGTCAGCAGGTGCTGGAGGCGCACACCTGGCTGGGTTTGTTTTCTGCGCCAAGCGTGGGCGCTGAAGGATGGGGTAGAGGAGAAAGGATCGGAGGAGGCCATCTTGGCGGGACGCAGATTGTTTGTGTTGTGTGGGGAGGTGAGGGTGGGAGCTGACTCCTTTTCGTAAGGGACTCGTCGGTGCAGATTGGGGAAGGCGGACAGGGGCTGCATGGTGGTGTCGCGGTTGGGGCTTGGCAGTAGGACGTGTGTCTGTTTAGTTAGCGTTGATCTGGCACGGACGTGTTTGGGAAGTTGGTCTTGCCCTGGTGTGTGGAATAGACCGAGCCATTGTAGCTGGCATGATGGGGACTGGTTCATGCCAAAGGGATGCAGACAGGTGATGCTTGCTTTGGCTGACAAGTCAGAAGGTTCCTGCCGACAGTCTTAATTTCTTACTTGTCTCTGGAGGGTCTGATGTGCGTTTTCCCTCAGTGGAGAGTGGGCTGGAGGTGCGACCGTTATTGTCACTGTCCCCGAACCTACATCCGGCCCACAGCACCTGCTTCTGTGGCCTGTGGAGGAAAGTGGTATTAGGGAGATGGCCGGAGGCAAGCAAGTGCATGATTTGCTGCTGGACATCAACAAACCGTTATAGCTAGAAAAAATGCTTGGCATTTCAGATTTCTTTTAGGATGCATTTTCTTGGTCTGAAAAGCAGAATTAATGGCAGAGACAGGGAAAGACAGAGAGGTCTTCCATCCTCTGGTTCCTTCCTCAAATGGCCACAATGGCCAGAGCTGTGCAGGACCAAAGCCTGGAGTCAGGAGCTTTGTCAGGGTCTCCCATGTGGATTGGAGGACCCAAGCACTTGGGCATCTGCTGCTGCTTCCCCACAGAAGAAGGGGAGCTGGAACCAGGACACCTGTGCTGCTGGCAAGTCCCTGTGCCACAATCCTGGCCCCTCAGGTAGGTTTTGAGCACCTTGTAGTTTTTGCAGTTGGCAGTGGTTTATCCTAGAACTACCCATAGGTGTTTAGAACATTTTGAAGAAAATCCAAGGCAGGGAGAGCAAAGTCGGAGACAAGGTGCTGTGAGGTCTCCAGCCCTGCTCCCGAGTGTCCCAGTAGTGTCCCAGTGTGGCCTGAGCAAGCACTGTGCTCCTCCTGTGTGGCTGGGAGACCTGTCTCAGGGCGAGGTGCTACCTGAAGTTCACGGGAAGAGGAAAGGAGGGAGAGAAGGTATGATAGCCGACAGGCAGTGTTTTTGAAAAGCTAGCTGCAATTATTAGACGTGGTTAGAAAAAAGTACAAAGTGAAGACCCACTCAGGATTCTAGTGTGAAACAAAGTTTCTAGCTCCTGGGATCTGCCCCAGAGGTAAAGTGCAGGTTGGTGATGGCTTTAGGTTGGTGTTGAGGAAGGAGTGGAGTGAGTGGAGGAGCTGTCCGGCTGAAGGCGCTTCAGCAGTCAACACTGCCTTTGCCCTGTGTGTTTAACTGCTGCGATGCGAGGGCTGCCCTTTGCGAGTTGTTTCTTAAAATACAGCAAGTGTGCACTCTGAACCTGATGAGAGTCTGTTAGCAAAGAGCAGTGCGCTCCATCAGAGCTCCTAAATTGTCGTGGGTAATATATCTTTTTTAGCTTTGAGGTTTTTCCTAAGGACAGACTTAGGGACTGGCCTAAAGTGTAATGGGCGAAACCACCACCTGTAATGCCAGCATCCTGTATTTTTGCCAAATAATAATACTGCTGCTGCATTTCTCATCCAACTTCCTGTTAATGGCCAGAGAAAAGCAGCAGGAGATGGCTCAAGTGCTTGGCCCCTTGCTGCCTACATAGGAGACCTGAAGGAAGGTCCCGGCTTCAGCCTGGCCCAGCCCTGGTGGTTGCAGGCATCTGGGGAATAAACCAGCATGTGGAAGGTACCTTTCTCTTTCCCCTCTCTGCTTCTGTGTGTAACCTGATTTTCAAATAAATAAATCTGTCTTTTAAAGGCACAGATTTTAAAATTTGTGAAATACGTGATTTGCTTTGATAGTTAAGTTTTTAAGAAAGATTTATTTATTTGAAAGAGTTACAGAGAAAGAAGGAGAGCCAGAGAAAGGGAGAGGGAGGGAGAAAGGGAAGGATGGAGAGAGAGAGGGAAGAAGAGAGAGAGAGAGAGAGAGAGAGAGAGAGAGAGAGAGAGAGAGAGAGAGAGATCTTCCATCTGCTGGTTCACGCCCCAGATGGCCACAACCACTGGACGGGGTCAGTTCAAAGCAAAGAGCCAGGCGTTTATAATGTCCCTGTTAGAACCCTAACCCAACAGAACTAATAATAAGCCTGTGATTTGAGGGAAATGAATTGTGAAATGGGGAACTTAACTGTGAAAGAATTTCAGTAAGAATTTTCAGGTCAGTTCTTTATAAGATCTGTAGTATTCAGGCCTGGTGCGATAGCATAGTGGTTAAAGTCCTCACCTTGCATGCGCTGGGATCCCATATGGGCACCAGTTTTAATCCCGGCAGCTCGTTTCCCATCCATCTCCCTGTTTGTGGCCTGGGAAAGCAATCGAGAATGGCCCAAGGCCTTGGGACCCTGAACCCACGTGGGAGACCCAGAAGAGCTCCTGGCTCCTGGCTTCGGATTGGCTCAGCTCCAGCCATTGCGACCACTTGGGGAGTGGATCATCAGATGGAAGATCTTCCTCTCTGTCTCTCCACCTCTCTGTATATCTGACTTGCCAATAAAAATAAATAAATCTTTTTAAAAAGATCTATAACATTCTATATAATGTTAAAGTTGATGAACTGCTAAGGCAAAGCCGTACTGTAAACAGACGAGCTTTAGGATTAAGATAATCTGGAGAATGTGTTTATTTATAAAAGTCAGAAGGTATTTTGTTATATTTAGCATCTTAGAATGGAATTTTCAAAGCCAGTGTCTAATAAAGGAAATGTTCTCCTCTGGGAACTGTGCTTATAATTTTAAAGTCCCAATGCACAGTGAAGTTGCCAAATTAAGAAACTTGGAATTTAGGCTTTGGGAATCGTGCTCTTCCTACCTCCAAAAAAACTTAGGAAGGAAAAGAATGAAACACGGGCTGGAAATTGGCATCTGAGAATCTGTGACTGGCTTGCGATTTCACGGGGTTTTGTTTTGGAAGTTAGGAGGAGGGTTCTGTTTGTTTTCCTGCTGTTCTGTAGATGCTGCAGTGCTGTGCAAATGAGAGCTTTGGTGCTTTGAAGGTTTCCCTCCTAGGTGGGTGAAGCTGGTGTGGAGAGGAAATGGTGACATCATTTAGAAGAGGCTTTGCATTTGAACTGAAGGTAGTGATTAAGATCAAGGGCCTTCAGAGTCAACCAGGGGCTTGGCATTGTCAGGCTGCAGGTTAAGCCTCTGTCAGTGCTGCCAGCATCCCATACGGGCTCCAGTTCAAATCCTGGCTGCTCCACTTCTGATCCAGCACCCTTCTAATGTGCCTGGGAAAGCAGCAGAGGATGGCCTGGGTCCTTGGGCTCCTGCACCCGTGTGTGACTCAGAAGAAGCTCCTGGCTCTTGACTTTGGATTGGCCCAGTCCTGGCCCTTGCAGCCGTTTGGGGACTGAACCAGTGGATGGAAGATATTGAATAAATAAGTAATATTTTTAAAAAATCAGATCAGTCTCAAAAAGCCAGATCCATCTGAGTTGGACTGTACCACTTACCAGCTGGGTAACTTGTAACAAGTCTGTTAAGTTGTATGAGCCTCAGTTTGTCCATCCCTGAAATGGAGCCATAAAACTTCATGTGTGCTCATTGTTTGTGTTAATTCAGTGAGTATGCGTGGTAAGTGCCTGGAATAGCTGTATCTGCTACTGGTGAAAAGAAATGTTTTTAAAGAAAAGATTTATTTGTTTACTTATTTGAAAGCCAGGGTTATAGAAAGGGACAGACAGAGGAGAAACAGAAGGAGGGAGGGAGAGAGAGAGAGAGAATTGAGAATTGTCTGTTGCTGCTTCACTCCCCATATGGCCCCAGCTACCAGAACTAGACTGATTTAAAGTCAAAAGCTGCTGGTTGTCCCACGTGGGTGCAGGGGCCCAAGGACCTAGACCATCTTCTACTGCTTTCACAGGGGCGTTAGCTGGGAGCTTGCTAGGAGGTGGAGCGGCCGGGACAGGAGTTGGTGCCCATTTGGGATGCTTGCATTGTAGGTTTTGCCCACTATGCCACAAAATAGATGTTTTTAAGTAAAAAAAAAAAAATGCTGGTTTCTTTTCAGTCTTGGAGGGTGACTGAATCTTTAAGTTGTATTTGGAATGATCTCATCTTCATCACCTTGAAAACAAAGTTTGACAGAGAAGGCCTGGCCTGTGAAGGCCTCCCTTTGCACTTTCTGTGCTCGGAATCAATGGTCAGGCTCTCCTGTGCGAAGAGCCCTGGCCGTTGCCCCATGTAGTCGTCGTCTTTCCTAGCACACACTCTCTTTACCGCTCTGGTGAATAATTAGAAGTTTTCTGATGGCCTTTGAGAAGGAAATACTGAACTAATTGCAT